TGCTAACACATTACATACAGGGCGGTAAACTTTGGGGCTCGGTGCCCCGGGAAGGGAAGGGGTCACACAGGTAAAACATATATTGTTAAATAGCCCCGGGTCCCATCTGGGATCCCTGTAAATAGTGGAGCTATTGGGTGTACAGAGTCCGAGATACCAGCGTCTAAAGTCTGGGGCTCGAGGCTTTGTACATCCCCGAAATCAGTTTCACAGCGTTGCTTGGTTTGGTCCGGTAAATTCAAACTTCGCGCCCAAACTAAGCAACAGCCAATCCGCCGACCAACCAGGAGAATGGCGCAAACCCAGTTTGAATTGGCACTCCCTCTCTCCGATTGGTTCGGCACAGATTTCCACGCGTCCACCGGGGCCCTGTGGCCGTGAGACCAACTCACAGCCCCAGGGATTCCCTGTTGGCGCGCGTCCCTCTCTTGGGTGGATATCCCTACGCTGGTATCCACCCGAGAGAGCGTTTTCCTGGGCTGCCACGAGGCTAGCCTTGTAGCTCCCAGGTAGTGGTGTAAGGAGTGATTATAGCTCCGTTGGGAGAAGACACAGCGGGCAGGCCGGTTCTGGATGCGAAGGCTCCCCTTGGTGGTCGTTCTGTGATACGAACTGGTGGCCACCCAGGGGTTGCACGCGCCGCTTGTTTCCCTTGCGGTCTGTGGTTTTCACACCTCGTTAGCGAGGTGTGAACATTCTAACCACACGTTCTAAGTGGAGTATCGGTGTGGTCCGGTGTCCCGGAGCGCCCCCGTGTGGTTAACAAGCAATTTGCATGATTTAATGTGAAAATTACAGCGAGGACGGAAATTAATAAGGGAAAACATACATTCCAGGAAATCACATCAACACATAAGATAGGGCAATTCATAATCAGGCAGCGGTCCTGCCACAGAGTTAAAATTAGAGGTCCATTGTCCAAACCAGCTGGGCTTTCATCTATCGAGAACACAAGGGTGGACTGTTCGGCTTTGTCCAAACATGAATTAATACTAACACATCTCTTACTGTCTTTGTAGGTAAAGAAGATAAGGAAGATGCTAACTCGGATTCCCCCAAATCAGAGGCAAGTATGAGATATCTTCATTTTAAACTTGATATTGGGTGGTCAGAAATCTCTCTGCCTTCTGTGGAGTTGGGGTGCATGGTTAGATTGTACAAGCTCCCCTGTGAGTGCATTATAATCCCCTGTCCTCTACGCTTGACTTTTAGAAAGGTTGAATATTCAGAGTTTACCCTTGATGAGATATTAATACCAGTCTTTGCTTTATTTCCTGAATTTGTTGTTAGTTTCATGAGTGGATTTCTGAACTTGTAGATGGCACTACTGTATAAACATCAGCTTCGGGCACTCATTGATCTCAGTCTGTGCATGTAGGGGTGAGACCCTTAAAATGGTGATAATTATTGATCACAGTGTTAGAAATAGAAAGAAATTAATCTGATAACAAATTTCTGGGTTAAAAAGGACTGAATTCCATGAGTTTCTGTCTAGTATATCTCCCGGGTTCTGCTGTTCCAGAATAAAGCAAAAAGCACGTTATAAATTCAAATTGTGTCTTAAAAAAAGAAAGAAAAAAATCTCTCTTGACTTCAAACTTGCAATAGATTTCTCCCTTACACAACAAACTACTTCTGGTTATATTAAAGGGACACTCGCTTTTTAATGCATTGGAGAGTGCCTCTATGGAAGTCAATGGTAAGACGTCACCTTGGATTTATGGTGTCATTTTTATTGGTTTTAAAAAAGATAGTATGGAACAGAGTCAAATTATAAAATGAATGAAGGGAATGGACAATTGGAATTATGAACCAAATCTAACAGGGAATTAAAATGGCCCACCCATTTAGACTTAAAAAAAGGTGATTTTACCTAGGCAGTGGAAAGGGCTGTTTAACCCCTTAAGGACACATGACATGTGTGACATGTCATGATTCCCTTTTATTCCAGAAGTTTGATCCTTAAGGGGTTAAAGTAAGAAAAATAAATGTGGCATTTTATGCCTAAAGAGTTAGTTTATGAGATTATTTTGATGTATTTCAAAAAGCCTGTGTTCTTTGCCTGTGTGAAATATCGTTTCTTTTCACCCCTGTAAACAAAAAAAAAAGTGCCAGTTTAAGGAGAAATCGGGCTGCATTTTTGGAGACAAGGTTATTTAGTTTTTTATCTGCACATTTGGAAATCATTGCATTTTTTGGGTGGATAAACAGCATAAACAGATGCGTTAAGGGTTGAATGTTATGTACTTGTGTGTTTTCGTTAACTTATATAACAAAATAATTATGTAAAACATGCTTTACAGAAAGTTAAAATAAACAAGTAAATAAACTCAAAAATCTGAAGTTAAATCCGAATTTCCCTGAGTTACGGCAAAGCATCATCTTCTGCAGGGCCCAGGAAGTGCCACTCCTTGTCTTTAGATTTCAATGTGAGTGTTACCGCAAACATTACAGTAAAATGCTATTCACTCAATCCAATAATTCGACTGCAAAGCCCAACAAGCTCTGTCGCTGAAGCATATCAGCTCTATAGGAAAGCATTGGATCTCCGATTCCATTACCTAAATGCCCCACTTAGTGGGATCAGGCGTAAAGTCCCACTACATGTGCGATACCAGGGAACTTAACACTTTCAGTGCTGCTGTGTAGAGTAATGGTTTTTTTATACTATCTTATACCATTCTGAAAGAAAAACACAACATTATACTAAAGAAATGAAATATTCCGGGGTCTGAGAGACCCCAGCATGTAACGAGGCTCTCTTACTACAGCATGAGGTCTGTTTGTGGTCTGGAATGTCCAAGGGGAGGAAAGCTTTCTAACTGGCATCGTGAGCCAACCAATCAGTCTACTAAAAGTTTTCACGATAATAGCCTTCAGTTGTAAGCAAGCATGGAGTTATGGCGGTATGGATTACTGTCATTAATGTACTGTTCCTCCAGTAGGCATCAAATAAAAAAAAGAGCTTCAGAAAAGCATCAACAAGTGCTGCAGTCACCATGCACTCTAATACAATCACAAGGGGCACTCTTCTGGTTTCTATGGTGATTGCTGAACTTTTAGAACTTTACCCAAATTTCCATCAGTTATATTTATCAATCTCGCCTTTTGTCCTCCCATCCACCGTTCCTGACCAAGTTGTAATTGTTGTACAATTCCAACTAAACTTGGAGTAACAAACAAGACACTACGTTTACGGAATACAGGCTTCATATCTATAAAATAGAATTAGAAACCAACATAATACAAAATAAATTAACTTGCTCGTGTGGACATTCCTGTGTGGTTCTTGTGGTGGTTTTCCCAGTGGACTTGTGCGATTTTGCCAATCTCTGCTGTGAAATCTTTGTCTAGGCAGACATAGAACTGTTCTTCTGTATCCATGAAATTGCTGTAAATGTGTGCTGTTGGGCCGCAAAAAGCTCCTGACAGACTTGTTTCCTGGGGACAGAACTTGCGGCGATGATCAATCTTAGTTCTCCCAACGTTTAGTAATGCATTTGCATATTAATGCACAGTCTGCAGATCGGTCTGGGCTACAGGATCATTTCCTGCGATTTGGATAGGCAGAAAAAACGCGCCTGCGAAGAACATTAATCAGGAACAGGGAGGGAAAATGCGGAGGAAATGTTTAACGGTGAATGAAATGCTAATTCTCATTGAAAATTGCCTTAACATGGCCGGCACACATAAAACAACTCATGACTTCTATTTCCACTTGCTGGTCATAAAGCTTACCATAATTATCTAGGATCTATGAAGTCCCAGGGTTCAGGATTTATCGGGGATTAATGGGAGTGGACATTTGGGTGAGAACAGATTCGGAGGTGGAGAGGTGATTCAAGGAGCAGTGAGTGTCAAAGAGCAGACAATTAAGAGAGAAATTAATTAGGAGAGAAATGATCTTGAGAAGAGAGAACTGATACAAGGTAGCTGTGATTCAGGGTGAAAAAAAGCAGTGTTTTACGTGGAGAAAATTGATTTGGTAGGAACAAGGAGTGATTTGGGCAAGCCGTGATTAGGAGCAAATAGACTCCATTGTCCCCAGTCACTGTTTATGTACAGACTGTACAATGTACAGACTGTGAGATAAAATGCCAGGTCTAGCACTATCTCTTGCAACTAGCATTGTCACCTAGAACTGGTATTATGCCGGTTCTATGTGATAATACAAGTTCTAGGTGACAATGCCGGTTCTATGTGATAATACCAGTTCTAGGTGACAATGCTGGTTCTATGCTACAATACCAGTTCTAGGTGACAATGCCGGTTCTATGTGATAATACCAGTACTAGGTGACAATGCCGGTTCTATGTGATAATACCAGTACTAGGTGACAATGCTGGTTCTATGTGATAATACCAGTTCTAGGTGACAATGCCGGTTCTATGTGATAATACCAGTTCTAGGTGACAATGCCGGTTCTATGTGATAATACCAGTACTAGGTGACAATGCTGGTTCTATGTGATAATACCAGTACTAGGTGACAATGCCGGTTCTATGTGATAATACCAGTACTAGGTGACAATGCTGGTTCTATGTGATAATACCAGTTCTAGGTGACAATGCTGGTTCTATGTGATAATACCAGTTCTAGGTGACAATGCTGGTTCTATGTGATAATACCAGTTCTGGGTGACAATGCTGGTTTTATGTGATAATACCAGTTCTGGGTGACAATGCCGGTTCTATGCTATAATACCAGTTCTGGGTGACAATGCCGGTTCTATGTGATAATACCAGTACTAGGTGACAATGCCGGTTCTATGTGATAATACCAGTACTAGGTGACAAGTTCTATGTGATAATACCAGTACTAGGTGACCGGTTCTATGTGATAATACCAGTTCTAGGTGACAATGCCGGTTCTATGTGATAATACCAGTACTAGGTGACAATGCCGGTTCTATGTGATAATACCAGTACTAGGTGACAATGCTGGTTCTATGTGATAATACCAGTTCTAGGTGACAATGCCGGTTCTATGTGATAATACCAGTACTAGGTGACAATGCCGGTTCTATGTGATAATACCAGTTCTAGGTGACAATGCCGGTTCTATGCTATAAAGCAGTTCACTGGTATTATCACATAGAACCGGCATTTTCACCTAGAAAGGTTAGGTTAAAGGATCTTAACATGTATAGCTTGGAGGAAAGACGAGACAGGGGGGATATGATAGAAACATTTAAATACATAAAGGGAATCAACACAGTAAAGGAGGAGACTATATTTAAAAGAAGAAAAACTACCACAACAAGAGGGCATAGTCTTAACCCCTTAAGGACTGAGCCAAATGTACACGTTGTGATCAAAACAAAACATAAACAAAACCTGGAATTTGACTATATGTCTGTTCAACCAGAATTCACCTCTTTCATATTATGTGCACCCACAATTGTTATACAGGGAGTGCAGAATTATTAGGCAAGTTGTATTTTTGAGGATTAATTTTATTATTGAACAACAACCATGTTCTCAATGAATCCAAAAAACTCATTAATATCAAAGCTGAATATTTTTGGAAGTAGTTTTTAGTTTGTTTTTAGTTATAGCTATGTTAGGGGGATATCTGTGTGTGCAGGTGACTATTACTGTGCATAATTATTAGGCAACTTAACAAAAAACAAATATATACCCATTTCAATTATTTATTATTACCAGTGAAACCAATATAACATCTCAACATTCACAAATATACATTTCTGACATTCAAAAACAAAACAAAAACAAATCAGTGACCAATATAGCCACCTTTCTTTGCAAGGACACTCAAAAGCCTGCCATCCATGGATTCTGTCAGTGTTTTGATCTGTTCACCATCAACATTGCGTGCAGCAGCAACCACAGCCTCCCAGACACTGTTCAGAGAGGTGTACTGTTTTCCCTCCTTGTAAATCTCACATTTGATGATGGACCACAGGTTCTCAATGGGGTTCAGATCAGGTGAACAAGGAGGCCATGTCATTAGATTTTCTTCTTTTATACCCTTTCTTGCCAGCCACGCTGTGGAGTACTTGGACGCGTGTGATGGAGCATTGTCCTGCATGAAAATCATGTTTTTCTTGAAGGATGCAGACTTCTTCCTGTACCACTGCTTGAAGAAGGTGTCTTCCAGGAACTGGCAGTAGGACTGGGAGTTGAGCTTGACTCCATCCTCAACCCGAAAAGGCCCCACAAGCTCATCTTTGATGATACCAGCCCAAACCAGTACTCCACCTCCACCTTGCTGGCGTCTGAGTCGGACTGGAGCTCTCTGCCCTTTACCAATCCAGCCACGGGCCCATCCACCTGGCCCATCAAGACTCACTCTCATTTCATCAGTCCATAAAACCTTAGAAAAATCAGTCTTGAGATATTTCTTTTCCCAGTCTTGACGTTTCAGCTTGTGTGTCTTGTTCAGTGGTGGTCGTCTTTCAGCCTTTCTTACCTTGGCCATGTCTCTGAGTATTGCACACCTTGTGCTTTTGGGCACTCAGTGATGTTGCAGCTCTGAAATATGGCCAAACTGGTGGCAAGTGGCATCGTGGCAGCTGCACGCTTGACTTTTCTCAGTTCATGGGCAGTTATTTTGCGCCTTGGTTTTTCCACACGCTTTTTGCGACCCTGTTGACTATTTTGAATGAAACGCTTGATTGTTCGATGATCACGCTTCAGAAGCTTTGCAATTTTAAGAGTGCTGCATCCCTCTACAAGATATCTCACTATTTTTGACTTTTCTGAGCCTGTCAAGTCCTTCTTTTGACCCATTTTGCCAAAGGAAAGGAAGTTGCCTAATAATTATGCACACCTGATATAGGGTGTTGATGTCATTAGACCACACCCCTTCTCATTACAGAGATGCACATCACCTAATATGCTTAATTGGTAGTAGGCTTTCGAGCCTATACAGCTTGGAGTAAGACAACATGCATAAAGAGGATGATGTGGTCAAAATACTCATTTGCCTAATAATTCTGCACTCCCTGTATGTATTTGTGAATACACATTTGCATGCAATCACCAACATTACAGACAAACACACTGCTGCATTCATACACTAACACTACAAAAAAAAAACTTGCATGCAAACACCAACACTACACCCACCCACATTTGAATGCCAACACTGCACATAAACCCCACATTCAAACATCAGCATTATGGGAAAATAGTAGATCCACAGCTGGCAAAGTGTCATGGGATTTGTATGGCAGCTGAGGAGCTATCTATTAGCAATTTCTGCTCTATTGTGGGAAGCATAGGACCTTAACATATTCTTGCACTGGAGCCCTAAGGTTTATAGCTTTGCACTTGGAAAGAGAGTAGGGGTCATGTTTCCCAATCCCTCTTCAGCAGTGCTTTTACCACGGCCATGATGACTGCTGGCACCACAGCCACCACCAGCATTGCTGGTAATATTCAGCCTCAGGATAGTGGAACTAGACATGTCCATTACATCTAATTTAACCCACAGGAGGTGATTGTTTTTTTTTTTTTATGCCTTTAATTTGCTGCATTTGGTGACTAAAAGTCTACAGTAGCAGAAGAATCTACAAAGAAGACTACTATCTCCAAAATAACTTTCACTTTTTACTTTTTACTTTCTTGTAACCTCCACAACTAAGGAGGATCGCAGCAGAGCATCATTTTTGGGCACCATCTGACCCACTCTTTACAGAAGACGCAGAGCAGAACACAAAAGTAGTGTTCCCCAGTATCTTTAAGCTGACTGTTACCACCTGTCCCATACTTGATTTATTCCATAATACACGATTAATGTAATTGGCTTAAGCAATTTTAGCCTACATTGAAAGTCTTCTTGATTGGTAAATTGAAACAGGTCTCTCCTAGCTAGTCAGTATCAGGAGTATTGGTCTTACCATTCAATAACCCATTACCTGTCTCACATGGTAAATAGGGAAAAGGGAGACTATTAAACATAAACAACTGATTTATCGACTTTATGCATGTAGATTGGTATATTGGAATCCAGAGGTCAGTGGTATTGTTTTTACCTGAACATAAATTCTTGCTACATCAAAATCACAAGGCTTTCATTTTTAAATGTCTGTCAGTCGGCAGTTCAGTGCAGCCTGTGGGTTTATTCTTTTTATTTCAGGGTAGAACATTGGGAGCATATCTTCTGAAATGTCCAAACTTATGGAGTGTAAGTAGAAGTGACAATGAGCAAATTCTTCCTGGGTAATAGTGGAGTTGGCTGGAAGATCATCAAATTTATAAAAGACTCATTTTATGTGATAGAGGATAGGTATGCCTTATAAAGCAATACTGTCAGGGTTATTAACTAAAGTCCAAATGGCTATGTACCGAAAGGGCCCAAACCATTTGGCTGCATATGAGAGGGATTCATACTGCAAAATCCAGACACTGTTTATACCAGAGGTTCCCAAACCAATCCTCATGGCCCACCAACAGTCCATGAGATACTGGCAAAACTTGGACTGTTGGTGGGTCTTGAGGACTGGGTTGGGAAACGCTGGTTTATACTACTGAACCCTGAATTTGATCCAAATTTCAGCTGGACTTAACAAAGTTAAACATCTGAAATCCAGAGACACATACTTAAAATATTGACCTAGAAGCTTTATGACTTTTAGTGGATAAACTGTAAGCAAGGATACATTCATATATTTAAATGCCAAGAGAAATGCACCTGTACATATGAACGTACACAAATAAACAACTCCAAATGTTTACAGGTAAATAAAGCAATGCATATAGATTGAAATATTGGAATCCACAGATCAGTGGTATTGTTCTGCCGGAACATAAATTCCAGGTGCTTTACTGCTGTATCAAAATCACAGGACTTTTATGCAAAATAAATAAACTATATAGTATATGATAAGATGTTATAGACAGACATATAAATAAGACAAACTTGTAGACATGTGGAATTTCTCATTGAACTGTCTGAAAGTTCCTACAGGCTTTAATTGTCAAGTATATTGAAATGTGTCTGCATCATGAAATAGTCATACAAACATATTTTTCTTCCTTCAGTCAGTCTGTTTATTTTCCTTATTTTTCTTATAACATTTCTTATCAGTCCCAGTCATCAGTACATTTGAATTCTTCTCTTTATGTTTGTTTTCTTTTAACAATTACACTCAATGTGTTACACATAACAGCATTATCTTGTAAACTGTCATTAATTTCGATGACATACCTCTTCAACATAATGCGTAAAACAAAATCTCTCCACAAAGTCAATTTCCAATTATAAATGGCCATTGCTTTTTAATTCTTTTTTTTATAAACAATTTTCAGCTACTGATAAAATTAATAGGAAAAAATACATGAAAGGGAGCACTATAAACACCACTCGTGAATATCTTTTTTTTTCTATTATAAATTTATAAACTGTGATGAAGTATTTTGGAAGTTGTTTGTTGCTGGCCCTATTTAGTAGGGGACGGGGTTAACTGGCTGCAGCAATAAATTACACTGAAAAACCAAGCACTGTGATGCTTATTTAGGTCTTGAAAAGAGCTCATTACCTTACTGCAGTCTTACACAATCAAGCCACCATTTTACTGCATTGCCACAGAAGAAACACAATGGTATATAACAAATACACTTCCAAAGAGGACATTGTATTTTTCTACTTCTTAAACACAAAGCATTGATTTTCATTAAACAATGAGTTAGCAGTGCTAGGTTACTCAATAAAGTCAAAGGGTTTCATGTTTTTTTAACTCTTTCTGTATAGTGACATTAGGGAAAATATTTTAGATCACTGGGTTATATGATCAAGGTAGCATGCATGCAACTTTTAAGATATACACTGAACAAAATTATAAATGCAACACTTTTGTTTTTTCTATGTACTCAAAACGCCTATTTCTCTCAAATATTGTTCACAAATCTGTCTAAATCTGTGTTAGTGAGCACTTCTCCTTTGCCAAGATAATCCATCCACCTCACAGGTGTGGCATATCAAGATGCTGATTAGGCAGCATGATCATTGCACAGGTGTGCCTTAGGCTTGCCACAATAAAATGTGCAGTTTTACTGTATTGGGGACATGGGGTGGGAGGGGGTTGAAAACCAGTCAGTATCTGGTGTTACCACCATTTGCCTCACGCAATGCAACACATCT